GAAAAGCATGCCATAATCCCCTAATCGTATCATGAAATATCAATGACATATGCGTAATACATACTCCTGCTGTAGTAATGTTCATAATAATACCAAGTAGAGAAATATACGATATTATCAAGGAGAATATACATATGAAACAAATTAGGAAATTCAACACATTTTATTTACCCGCCGGGAGTCATTCACCAGGAATTCAGCCTAATTGTCGAAAAAGTGTTTTTCGAGTGCCCGCTGGGAGTTCATCCTTAGGTTTAGCTTGTGAAGAGGCCTTATACATACAGAAATTATTTCTCTCGAGGAACACTCGGAAATACCTTTTTCGGCCGGACGGCAGAGTGCTACCATTATCCTGATACTGGTAGACTATGGACAACGCTACCTAGGACAGGAGGCGCGCGGGCGGAGTCTCAAGCGGCCAATGAAACTTGGTGTAGCTCCGGTGTCCCCCACTCTTGCAGACTGAACGATGGGCAGGGGCCGTCTCCCGCCCCAATACCCGAGTACCGATACTGAAGTATTATATGAGACCACCTTCCCCGTGCGGCTTCCCTTCAGCCTTTGACGGCAATCCCCAGAGAAGTCGCTCTTATACTCGGACCTATTCCCTCAGAGCCCACTCCAGGACAACACTGCCAAGTACTCTCGCTTGTTCAACTACAGTAGTTTCTAAATCTTAAATGCTTGATCAGCAGTGATTACTGTTGTGATGGTGGTTGCTATCAAAATGCGTAGTGCTAATAGAACGGAACGGTATAGTGAATACTTGTGGTGGGATCAAAGGGAAAAGTGTGTTCCTCATCTCTTTCGCCTTCGCTCATAGGTAATGACAGGTGTATAAGGAAAACATCATCAAAGTAACCTAATCTCTCCATAAACCACTACACCCATCTCTCACACTCCCTTCATGTCCAAACTCCTCTGTTCATATCCGTAATAACAAAGGAAAGACATATCTGTGAAATCCGCTTCTAAGTCAGAGGGGGTAGTTTCCGCCAGGGGGGGTTTCCGTAACTTCTGTGTTGGTCCGTGTTTACCACCCACCCCCTTTGTTCAATTTGAATTATCTACATCAGAACCACCTATTTCGATAGGACTCTCAGCAGTAGACCCTTCAGAATTGGTCTCTGAAGCTGAATTCTCTGCCTTAACCCCCCCAGCCAGCTTTGACTCGGCGCATTCATAGCACCTGTACACAAGCGTTATGCAAGTCCTTTTCACTGTGTATGTGAACCACGGTGCTGAGGATCACAGAATTGAAGGGAGTAAAGAAAACGCATCAGAATTGAATATGTGGTGCCCAAATATATCGAGGGGGTTGGGTGGCATACATTGGTTGTATGGAACATACGGAAACCCCCCTGGCGGAACCCCCCCCCTCCGACTTAGCCTTCAAACAAATCTATCCTACTGCTCAATCCCGAAAAACACTCCTGCCACTCCGGCAAACAACCTTATCCTTCTACTTTCCATTCCTTCCATGACCAACCACGACACACTATCATTCATCACTTCAACAATTACAACAACTGTTTTCCCCAACGTCATCTGCTCTCCCAGCCTTCCATTTTCTCAAATCCCTTTCTCCCGCAGAGAAGACAGTAGTCGTTCAGGCTGACACTCTCGCTGAGAATGGTGGAGTTCAGCCGCCGGGGAACTTGCCTTCTAGAAAAACGGAGCTTTGAGAAACTTAGGCCCTGATGACATCCGAGAAAGTGGTGACAATGGCTACGATACCCCAAGCTCCTTTTCATTTCTCCTCACACCCCGATTCCGGCATTTCAACAAAGCCTGAACGCAACATCAACCTCCGAGTCCTGTTTCGGACTCGCTGCGATTGGGTAGGGCCTGTCTAGGAGGTTAGTAAATTAAGGTTACTACTTTCTGGCCCCATCTTTCCCAACACAATTTACCTTCCTCTTTCTGTATCGCAGTTGACTCCTGCTTCTCCAGTTCATATTGTATCCGGTCCCCAGCCTCTCCTAACGCATTTACCTTTCCATCCTGACACATTCACTCCCGACCTCGCATACCGGTATCGCATTCCACCACCCTCTACTCGATATTTCCGTTCGGCCTTCTCCCCTCTGCACAAGTTTGTAATGGGCGGATCAATGCACATGTCTTAGTTACTACCCCTATTCTGTTCATTATGCCTGTGGCCCCGAATAAGTCTCCGCTCGGCTGGAGAGGTTTTAGGGGGGTCCGGTATTCGTTTTAATCTCTTTAGGTAATCAAGTACCGTATGCTATCGGTCAATCCACTTTCACCTGTATTTCGGTCGCGCCCCACCCCACCTCCGTTCTACTTCCAATACCTCGCGTGTTACAAATGCCACAACTTGAATATATCTAGCGTTCTGATTGGGAATTGTTGAAAAAAGGTGCAATGATCAAGGCATATACCAGAGGCAGATGAGAGCGAGAGGTTCAGATTGTTATTCTAAAGAGAATTCTACACCAGGTCCTGGGGAGGACCCGCTATTTATGCTGTAAAGCAGCAACATATATTAGTAGCGGAGAAGAAGAAAAAGGAAACAACATAGAAGGCAAGAGAAGTAGATGAGAACACCATTTCATATCTGCAGGACAGATTGAGTAATAATAGGAGAGAGAAAAGGTTAAATGGGATGAGTCAAGATCAGGAGGGGCAAATCGACGCTAAACAAAATGACCCGTATTGTCGTACTCTAAGACGTAGAAAGTACATATCTGAAAGCCCAATTTCAACAGGAATGGCCGCAGACTGAACGAGTGATGATACATGTCGCACACTTTGCCTCCACAGTGTCTTTAGGGCGGTGAGGTGCTCTTGGGCACAAGTATGTTCTGACGCATTTTATAGATCATGCGAAGTGACCATAGCTCACGATCCATCTGGCCCTGGTCTAGGGATGGGTGCGCTAGACAGTTCGCAACTTTGAATAAAACTCTGGACTGTTTTTTTCTCGGTTTCTCTTTACATCTACCGCTACTATACAAATCATCAGGAGGTCAGGCTGCCTCTTTTTCTGTGGCACGTCCGGGGGTAGCCCCAATATCCCTTACTATACCCACATAGGTACATCTTCCCCTAGAAGACCTAGTTGCGATCTGCTAAGCGAGAGGTTCGGCGGCTGCTATGAGGCTAATCTCCGTTCTGTTTTTTTCTCTCCTCTACCGGTAGTTTATCTCAAGGTTAGCTTCATTGGTATCTTCCTTTTTGGGCTTTCGAAAGTTTTCCATCTTGGCTGGGTTAGAGACTTTATTAGCCTGAGAACTTTTTGCGCTTTTCTCCATGCCTCTAATCCTGTTAACGATTCGCTGAAAGGTACGGCTAGGACGAAAATCCTACCCGAGCATCGCGACTACCCACCCCACCTTCCCAGTACTGTACGTAGCGTATCCGGCCCCCCCACCGTCATCTCGCACCTCCCTGCAATGTCCTGTGTCTTGTAGGAATAGATGCTTCACTGCCCTAACAAAGCATACCGCCCCTGAACTCCTTCTACACAAATGCCCCTGGCCACCTGCCATCTCGGGACACTCGCTTTGCGGGACGGATTGCTTGAATTTCGGGCATCCAGGATAGTGACAGGTGTGGTTTGACAATATTCGACCGAACTGTGCTCCCGTTTTTACAGGATTCGGTTCTCTGGCTGTTGGTCCGGGAGTTTGTGGCGAGAGGAATGGCTGTGCCCGTGGACGGGGAAGGGGGAAGGAAATCTCCGGAGGGAAGATGGAATGGATCGGTGGAAGTTTGTGATATAGAGCTCGCTACGCCCTGCTATTTACCATAAATTTCAAAGCCATCACTCTCCACACTTGCTTCCAATACCGCGGCTCTTCCGCCGACTACTATACTGTGCTCTGTACTCGAGGGGGGGAGGGTGGGGAATGAGGGACAAAAGTGTGAGAAATCATCTGATAATATATCATGTTGAATTATTGGCAAATGGTGACAGACTCCGAAGATTTTCCTCTATTCATCCTACTTTACCTATACCATTAGGTTGTCGAGCGGGGTTAAAACTAATATAAGGGGACATGTATCATACCATTAGCATAAAAGGCGTCGCCGGCATTAGGAATCAAGCCTAGACCTTTTTTCCCTTGAAAAGATTTGTGGCTAGCACAGCTGACTGAGCTGGGTATACAGTACTGGAGTGGCATTCTTGATAGAGCCTTCCACATCTTGGCCAATTCTCCACAATAAAACCCCTCCCGGTATCGTTAACGATCCTAATCTGGCCGCCCGGGATGTAAGTAGGAGCCAGAAATTGGTCTGGCAAAGAGTCGGCAGCCCTTCCTACCTTGACATCCCGAGCCCGGTTCCGGCTTTACTGCATATTAGGCACCACCACCAACCTTGGTGAAAATCCGACGCTCTTTCATGGTTACACCGTGCTATCCCGGATGGCCAAAATCTAGGAATTGGGCCACTCATTTCTGGGGGTCTGGGACGAAGCCGGGAGACGGGTAGCACTATTTGAAGCATTAGTACCGGAACGCTGTACTCATGGCCTGTCTCTCGATCAATGCCCAAAGGTGTTATTAGCACTTCTGGAGGGACTTCCTAGGGGGCAGCCATGTAGCCTCGCCGCTCAGTTTCCCCTTCCTCTCTATCACCCCTGAGACCAGATACTATGGGATTGTACCAATAAATTGTGATTTTACGGTGTGCTTGTACTACGGAACTCCGATTTTGGGGGTGGTCGATCCTCCGGCCATCACCGCTCCTTGTAATACAGTTGCCTTTTTTTTATATCTTCGAATACATCTGCTTTGTGAGCTATTAGAAGAATGGTATGAGAAGGTTAAATACCTGTAGAAATGTGCGGGGGGGATTTCTCAGAGCGTCACAAAAACCCGGAAGGGCCGGCTCAAGCGGTCGAGTTTCACCGTGATTTGGGGGTGCTAGAGATTTTTAATGGTTCGGTGTGATCTAACCGTGGAATTCATTGGATCTCTATCCGTTAGACCCATCAACCTCTGAATTTAGAATGATGCGTCCAGTTTACAGGACAGATTATGACCCAGAGAGAAGGTTTTGGGTATCAGAGGAGGAATTCGTCTCCGTAGATAACTATAGCGAGAAGGAATCAGGATGGATCGAGTGGGAGGCACTGGACTACATGAGCCTGGAGTAAGGGGGTATGTAGATGCATGCATTGAACATCGCAAGGAGTTATGTTTCAAGACTGCGGTTGGCTTGAAAGCTGATGGGTAATGCCTCTCATAGACTATCCCGACCTGAGGAAGCACTGATCTATTAGGGAGTTTAACTCCCACCTACTAGAACCACTCAGTTGGGGAGGCAGAGAACGGAGCATAGCGGGCTGTGCCGCCATTTTTTGGAGTTACCCATTGATTTACTTTCAAGGAGGTTATCGGGGATGAACTACAGTACCGCCCATCGCTACTATTATATCACTCACTCGAAGTATTTTAAAAGTCAAGTATTTGATAGTGGGTCCACAATAGACCTCCCTCCACCTGGCATTCCCGAAACCCAGCTTTCTTTCGCCTTTAAGCTACTGCTAACCATGCTATGCCTGATATATTGTAGTAGTGTATGCGATCGTCGCAAGGGCGCCATTAGCCTCACGGTACTAAGCACTGATGCTTAAAACGCTCAAGTGTTATCCATCAGGAACAATCATTAAAATCAAAGCGCCTGACAAAGGCCCCGCGCTCGGTTAGGTTGTCTACGAAATCAGTAGTAGTAATAGCTAAAGCGAAGAGGTCAAGGAAGAGTGCCGTAGATAGAGCTTGTGAGGGGTGGGAAGGTGACTAAATTTCCTGTGTTGCTTAATGGGCATCGATTAAGTCGCATAAATACTCCATGCTCACATTTTAACTAGGGCTTAAAACAATGGGCTTCCCTGCATCTAACTTGCTTTAATCACCGTATATCCCTCTCACTTCGTGTCGCGGGTGGCTCGAATGGGTTGGTTGGATGAACCCGGATTACGCCTGATCGGCTTGATTTGAGTCAGATTGAATTTTCGTCGGGCTTGGGTCCAGCCGGGTCAGCTAATTTTCAACCCGGTTTAACCTATTGCAATATCTTTGCTCATGGTGAGTAATCGCACGGCGCTGTAGGGTAGTAGTAGGGTCCTGGTAGTGATAGGAATGATATGCGAATAGGGGCAGGTGTTTAAGGTAGAATTTAGAATATGAGGAAAAACGAGGGGTTAGGGATCAGGAGGGCAGGAAAGGGATAACTCAAAGAATCAAAATCTCTGTAGAAATCAGTTATTTCAAAGTAATTGAACTCTCAACAATCTCATGACTACCTAAACTACTCCTACAGCAGCGGATAGACCACATTCAGCCCTTGCTATCGGCCCCATATTTCAGGAGAAGCGACACAACTGACTCTTTCTTCATCGTTCTGGCTGCCTGTAGTGCATTGCCGTAAAAACCACCCTGAGCATTCACCTCTGCCCCACGCTCGAGGAGAAGCTGTGCAACTGATTCGTACCCATTCAATGCAGCTGCTTGTAGTGCATTGCCATACCTGCCACCCTGGGCATTCACGTCTGCCCCACACTTGAGGAGAAGCTGCATAACCGATTCGCTCCCCATCCATGCAGCTGTTTGCAGTGCATTGCCGTACCTACCACCCTGGCATTCGCCTCT